TCACAGGCGTGCTCTCGTCGTCGTGCTGCGGTGAGGAGAGCACCCCACCGCCTCGTCCCAGGAGAGATGCACAGCGGTGCAAGGGAGGGACTGGTCCCGTGTCTCCCAAGAGGCCCCAGTGAGGACGGTAAATCTGCTGTTGTAAAAGAGAGGCTGGGAAGTCACCAGCACAGGGGACCATGATGATCCTCATCATCACGGGGGGCTCCAGATGGTCCTCATCATGGGGACATCAAGCCTTGCAGCCAAACAGGCCATGGAGAAGTGGCTGGTGGTCCCCTGTAGCTGCCTGGACGGCCTGGGCGCCCTGGGCACTGGCCAGACTGGGAAGCTGCCCAGGGCAGTGACAGCCCTGACCTGCTGGCACTCGTTAGTGCCACAGGGACAAGCATCGGGTCTCTTCTGGAAGGGCTGAGTGCCAGAGGGGTTGTCCTCGTGGCCCCCTGCTCGGCAGGTGCCTGGCACCCCAGCACAGAGCACACACTCCTTAACTTGTCACTGCCGAGTTTCTCCCTAAATCCCATCCTTCCCTGGGCATGTGGTGGGATTTTTTTCCTACATGATGCGGAAGAGAAATGGAAGAAATGGCCAGCAATGGTTTAGCCCTCAAAGGAAAGCTGCCATCGAGCATGGCTGCTCCCAGGGGACTCCCAGGGCTCTGCAGTGATGATGCAGGAGAAGGTCCGGGGGACCTGGCCATGTAACCATGCATGCCAAAAGCACTGCCTTTTGGAGCCGCACACGGATCCCTCAGCCCCGCGCGGAGCCTCGGGGCCACTTCTGCCTCCTCTCTGCGCCCGGGCTCCCAGCTTCCCTGCTGCTTGGCCGTGTCCCTCGTCCCCTTTGGGCTCCTCCTCGCTGGAGCTCCCTTGGGGGTGGTTATGCCTGCTGGGCACCTGGGTCCTGCTAGACCAAGTTGGATGCACTTGCTGGATCCCACCAGGTTTTTGGAAGGCGGTGACCCTGGGCAGGGGTCCCTCTGCCGGGCATCTCTGCCCACCTGGGCAGCGAGGCTGAGCCCGCGGGCACCAGACCCTGGGTCAGGTCTGCTGCTGGAAAAACAGATTCGGTACAAAACCCAAGAATTCAGACAAGGTCCAGAGACACAAGTTCGGTCTCATCTGTTCACCTCCACGAAGCAGCCTGCAGAAACCCCGGAGAGGGAGAAGGTCCTGCCCTGGGGAGGAAGCCAAGCCCGGAGGCAGCAGCCGGGAGCTGGGCTGGGCACATCCCATCCCCGGACGCTTCACCGTAGCGAGCCATCAGGAGTGATCCCCAGGGAAGACCCGCCTGCCTGGGGGCACCCTGAGTGCCACGGGTGGAGAGGGTCAGCGGGGGTCCCGGGGGAGCTGCTGGAGAGCTCCTCGCACCGCGCAGCACGTACCGAACTTAGCTGCCTTTGCTGCTGCTGGCGCAGCC